CCCCTACCCTTCATATACATCCCACTTTTCATGTGTCTAGGATTAAACCTGTTTGTCTGCTGCCAGTTTGTCTTGTCTCGTCAAGCCTACAGCATTCTTCCCATACTCCTGTTTTGCTCTAGTCACTGTTTTCCAGTTTTTCCGTGTTTTGACCTTTCTGCCTGTCCTGACCCTGAGCCTGCCTGCCGTTCTGTACCTTGTAACACTGTTCTGGATTACTGACCTCTGCCTGCCCCTACCCTGAGCCTGCCTGCCTTTTCTGTACCTTTCGGACTCTGCTCTGGATTACTGATCTCTGCCTGCCCTTGACCTGACGTTTGCCTGCCCCTGTTTTTGTAAATAAACTTTTGCTATTCCGAACTGTCTGCATCTGGGTCTTATCCTGAGTCGTGATAATGACTCTTCCTAGAGCTGGCCACCCGGCCAAACTGAGCAATCGGGGGAGAAGGGCCTAGGTCAGGAAGGTGACCAAGAACCCGATGGTCACTCTGGCCAGACGGAAGCCACTCCTCAGTAAAAGGCACATGAAAGCCCACTTGGAGTTTGCCAAAAGGCACCTAAAGTACTCTCAGACCATGGGAAACAATATTCTCTGGTCTGATGAAACCAAGATTGAACTCTTTGGCCTGAATACCAAGTGTCATGTCTGGAGGAAACCTGGCACCATCCCTATGGTGAAGAATGGTGGTGTCAGCATCATGCTGTGGGGATGTTTTTCAGCGGCAGGGACTGGGAGACTAGTCAGGATCCCCATCCATCCTGACAGAGCTTGAGAGGATCTGCAGAGAAGAATGGGAGAAACTCCCCAAATACAGGTGTGCCAAGCTTGTGCGTCATACCCTAGAAGTCTCGAGGCTGTAATCGCTGCCAAAGGTGCTTCAACAAAGTACTGAGTAAAGGGTCTGAATACTTATGTAAATGTGATATTTCCATTATTTATTTTTAATAAACCTGTTTTTGCTTTGTCATTACGGGCTATTGTGTGTAGATTGATGAGGAAAAAAACAAACAATTTAATCCATTTTAGAATAAGGCTGTAACATAACACAATGTGGAAAAAGTCAAGAGGTCTGAATACTTTCCGAATGCACTGTATATTTATATTTTACATTGTATTGCTTAAATTATGTAGTGAGTCTCCCCCTCACAGCAATCAGGATGACTAAACAACATCTAAGCTATAGTATATTTTACATTTTAGTCATTTAGCAGACACTTATCCAGAGCGACTTACAGTTAGTGCATTCATCTTAAGATGGCTATGGCGAGACAACAGCATAGTGAAGGCTCATTCAAATCACTTCTGATGTAGGCTACAGGTACAGTATGGCATTAACAGCACCCTAAATTTGAGACAGCACTTCAAACCCCAACAAAAGTTGTTGTTTTTTTAAGGGTGGAAAATATTATAGTCTGATGTCATTGCTTAGTGATATGACAGGCTGTTCTAGTTTATCACAAATCAAATTGAAATCAATCTGGTTATACATGCCATACAGTCCCAATAGACCTAACAATTAAATCCCTGCCACCTGATGGGGATGAATAGGGTGTAAAATATTGTCTCGTAGGTGGTTTATAATTTTGAACATTAGTATGAAAGGAAAATCACTTTGAGTGCACTTTACTGAACAAATTAAGATTCCTGTCACAATGTATATTGTTTTATGAAATTCATTGATGCGATAAATAATATGTCTCTGGTGTAAGTCATTACTGATGTATTTATTCCAAACATCAATGAACATGGTCGTAGAAGGAATAATTAATTCAGTCTAGCCTAAGATTCCTCAGTAACTCATGACCATTTTCATTAAATATCATATTTTAAATGTTTTAAAAAATGAATGCCATGGCTACTAGAGCTTGATTTAATTTGTAGAATAGCTCTTAGCATTATGCACAGTGTATCTGACACCAGCAACACTCATCTGTTATTATTTTACCTTTCATATATTATCTATACCTCAATATTATCCCCATTCCAATTGAGTTTTGTTTCAAAACACATTTGGAAGAGATTGCAATCACATTTAAGTGATAATGCCAGAGAAGCCGGTGTTTGAAGGTTATATTGTCTTGGGTGTTGTTAGCAAACCGTGCCAATATGTCCTCCAAACACTGGTTTTGAGGGCATTATCACTTTTATAGAACGGGTTACCAACAATATTCAAATAATGATTTACATATTTTCATTAAAAACGTTATTTTGATGATTTTATTCATACTATTTCATCCTTCCACAAGATATAGTCCCGATACAAATCTAGGGTTGCTACCCAAGCCAGCTGGATTGTTCTATCTATTCGGTTGCCAGAGACACGACTCAGTCGTTCAGTCTTTTTGCTCTGTGTCTATGGACGCGACCCAGTCGTTCGTTCTAAATGTTCCATTGCCATACTGGCAGGCAACGTTCTTATCCCTTGCTTGCTAGCTAGCCAACTACGGCTAACTTACAGTAACGTCAAACAGTGCAGCCAGAATAACAACAGTAGCTTCATTTGCATTTGTTTAAGCTGTTTTCTAGACATTTATTTGGAGACATCCATAACAATGAGCTAATGAGGCACGATTTCACCTGGCATAGAAACTGTGCTCTCTCATCAGGACACTGTTGTTCAGAGGAGCTAGCCAACAACACAGCTAACACAATCATTTCAAACTGAAGCTGGAAAGACCGCAAACTAGCTGCACTTCATTTAGTTTGACCTTTTTTCAATTGACATTTCTTTGTATTTATCCATAAAAATTATGTCAGCTGATTCATGATTTTGACTGGCTGAGAACCGCTGCCTGCCTGCCTGTCTGTCTGTCTCGTCCCGACTCCCGACACGTTCATTACTATGGGACAGCTGGAGTTAGAATTTGAATATTGAAACAATGTTGCAAATGTCGGAGTGACAGACAGCAAGGTTTATACAAATCTCCGCTGTTGAAAACTACATGGTAGTCTAAAAGAAATGTGAGATAATGTCTAGATGCTTTTTATAGTGGAGATCAAGTTTATAAATTGCCTGGCTGGGCTGATGAGACAATGGATTGCGCAGTCAGATGGAACAGAGTAAATAGGCATTTAACGTCAAAAATGATAACTTGTGGAATAGACACCGGCTGGAATGCGGTTTTAACCAATCAGCATTCAGGATTATACCCAACCGTTGTATACATTTTCATTATACTTACATTTACATTTTAGTCATTTAGCAGATGCTCTTATCCAGAGCAACTTACAGTTAGTGAGTGCATACATTTTCATACTGGCCCCCGTGGGAATCGAACCCACAACCCTGGTGTTGCAAACGCCATGCTCTACCAACTGAGCTACACGGGACTATACAAAATCAAAATATCAAATAATTTTATAAATTAACTGCTTTGAAATTAATACTTTAAGAGCACAATAATATGACAGAATTTCTGTTAATTTCTATATGACATCTTGGGTCCATTCTCAATAATGTCTTTATGGACTTTTTAAGTCCACTTTCATCTTCCATGGTTCCTTGAGATTTGTATAGATGGATTGGTTGTTTAGCAACAAAACCGACACGGGCACAACTATGGGGCGAAACAGACGGGGTTGGCTTAGACTGTTGACAACATTTAAACTATATTTAGTCTCCAAATATCTATTGAAAACATAAATACATTTGTACAATGAGCACTTGTTGTCTCTCAAATACATTGTTAGAGTTGTTGTTTAGCTAGCTAGCGAATTTTAGAGATATTAGCATAGACATGACATCAGTCAAAACACCTCAAAACAAGACATGGTATCAATAACAAGATACAACGATATGAAATGAGCCGCATGGTAGCTTCATGTCATGGTTGCTAGCTATCTGACCGTTCAGAATCATAACGAACACCTTCAGGCCACATTGATACCCGTGCATACTGTTCGTGCCAACCCATCTATAGGCCGTGAGCTCCCGGTCACTCCCTGACCACACCCATAGTCCCTTCCTGGTTTGAGTAAAAGCGGAAGTGGGTGTATCAGGAAGGTGGAAGCATAGATTTAGTTAGAGGACTCATCATGGATATAACCCCATTATGCATAGACATTGCCATTGAGTGCTTCCACCATTTGAAAGTACCCAACTGGGTGGGGACTCCTAAGAGCAATCGGCCAATGATCAGACAATTGTCTTCTTCAAATGGGGTTGGTAATGGCTTTAAGCTGTATCACCGCCATCTAGTTGCCACAATAAATTACATACAATATTTGATTTGAGGACAAAGACATTGTTTCTCATTTAAAACAGAGACATGATTTGCATTGTAATGTGTGATTCAGAGACTGAGCATAAACAGTTGAGTGGATTTTGGGGAGTGTTGGTTTGATTCTGTATGTCAGTCGATTCATTTGTGAATAAACATTATTCTTTAAATGGCATTCATGCCTTTCTTGAGCATTGGCGGTTGAGAATTGCTCATTGGATGTTCCCATTGAGGTAATAGATGTGGAGGTCAGATCATCTGTCGAGTTCCATCATGATCTTCCCAGCCAGAGACATACAGTATGTTCCAGGTAGAATTTATTACAAAGTAAAGTCAGGAAGAAGTGAAGCACACTTGAAATTCATCCCAATGACCTCAAACTAGATCAGGTATCTATTCAGCGCTACAAAGGCAAAACGTATGGAGGACTAAAAGTGCCACAATTAAATAAATAAATACACCATTAAATAATTACTTAAATGTGTCATTAATTAATTCAAATTAGAATTAAATACATAAATGTGTAATTAAATGTATCATTAATTAATTCAAATACCGATTCATTTTATGTAAAATACATATATAATTATTTCACTATTTACATTTACATTTCATGATCCTGCATTGCAGTGATTCATGAATTACTTAAAACTGTCAAACTGACCCATCAAAGTCAGTGGGCGGGGCTAACGCGAATCTAGTCTGATCCATTGCTTTGGTCTGAAGTAGAGTAGGCCAACCTGGATAGAGACAATGGAGGATCTCCGTGAACTTTCCAGGGAGTTGGTTAGAGACATTTTAAAATTAGCAGAGGATGTAGAAGCAGGACCTGCTGACCCAGAGCATGTAGCTAGTAAAGCAGAGGAACTTATTGAAGTTGTTGGAGTCATTTCCGCACTTTCCGACGAAGATATCGACCACAGAGTGATTGCAAATCTAGAAGAAGTTGTCCACCGCTTCTCTGGTACCAGGGCACTTCAGGCCCAACACACACAGGGACCGGGGCGTTTGGCGTTTGACATACCGAGTGCAGTTCTGGAGCATCAACTTCTTTGTGGAGTTCCCGCAGTTCAAATTGCAGCGATGTTCGGTGTGTCAAAGAGGACCATCAGGAGGCGCATGCAACAATACAGTTTAAGGTATTTACACTAAATTCATGAGTTTTCTGTTTATGAATTGCTGCTCTCATACACTCGGAAAGAATATGACGTTTAAGGTAACATTACTTGATGTTGTGTTTTTCTTGTTTGTACAGAAAGACAGATCTCTATTCAGCTGTGAATGATGAGGAGTTAGACCGTATTGTAAGTGAAATTCACAGAAGTCATCCAAACACCGGCTACAAGCTAATGCGTGGTCACCTGAATGCAAGAGGTGTGCATGTTCCAAGTGAGTAGATAATAATATGGGCATTATTTAAATGTATTTTTAATTTGGAGCTCTGCCCCTTTGAAAGGTGAAGGAAGCCCGCTTATGGAAAGACATCGCCTCTGAGATGTAGAATGTGTAGAAGAAATGTGAAGAGAAACACACATTTCAGGACGGCTGACTTGTATCATCAGGATAGACATGTCCTGTGATTTTTAGCCTCCTGTTTAATAGAGGTGGAACAATATCTGACAGTAATATTCTCAGCTGTCCGGATGTGCCCCTGCTGTAAAGGGTATAATATAATCATAGAAAAGCAAAATATCATAGGAGGCAAAAAATCTCAGGTCATCTCTGTTCGAGCATGTGGTATCTATCTATCTATCTATCTATCTATCTATCTATCTATCTATCTATCTATCTATCTATCTATCTATCTATCTATCTATCTATCTATCTATCTATCTATCTATCTATCTATCTATCTATCTATCTATCTATCTATCTATCTATCTATCTATCTATCTATCTATCTATCTATCTATCTATCGTCGATCTATCTATCTATCTATCTCTTATATGTGTGTATATTATGATAGTGTCTATATATGTATATGTTATTATAGTTATATATGTGTGTATGTACTATATTATATATTATAAATATACTAATATATATATATATATATATATATAAAATATATGTATGTATGTATATATAGTATGTAATGTATGATATATATATAAAATATCTATGTTATGTATGTAGAATGTATGTATATGTATGTATGTATGGTATATATAGTATATATAAGTTTTATATTGTGTCTATATCTGTGTATGTTATAATATATATATATATATATATATCTATATATATTATATATATATAGATATATACATTACATTACATCTATATAAATATATATATACATATTATATATAATATAAATTTATCAATATATTATATATATAATAGATATATTATATGTATGTATGTATATGTACAATTATTCGACAGTAAAGTACATTTTTGAAGCTGTGTGGTGGTTCTGGAATAGTTGACTGTTTTACACACATTATTTATTTTATTATGGACCACCACTATATCCTCAAAATAAGTAGCCAGTGAGTGTTGTGGTTATTCATTTAAATTCTCCCCTCAGTCTCAAGACTGCAAGAGTCTTTACGCAGAGTCAATGCAGAGGGAGTCTACATGAGACGTCTGAGGCTGCGTGTATTAAGGCGACGGCAGTATTTTGTTCCTGGCCCAAACTCTTTGTGGCATATAGATGGCCACCATAAGCTTATCAGGTCAGTGATATTAGCAGATAAACAATGCATCTTTCTATATGTTTCATTACAATTGTTATACAATAAAGTTATATTTTTTCATGTGTTTGCAACAGGTGGAGATTTGTTGTCCACGGTGGGGTGGATGGATTCAGTCGTTTAGTGGTCTACCTGACTGTGGCCGGCAATAATAGAGCTCATACGGTCTTACAGAGCTTTATCGCCGCTGTTGAGCAGTATGGGCTGCCATCAAGGGTACGGTCTGACAAAGGGGGGGAGAATGCAGATGTAGCAGAATTCATGATCAGAAGCAGAGGTACCGACAGGAATTCACACATCACAGGCAGAAGTGTCCACAATCAGCGGTAAAGAAATATGTTTGGCAACTAGGCTCACACAACTAACATACTAGTTGAATGTACTTTAGCATATGTCATAAATTAACAATTTCTCAATTTTATCCTAAACACAGAATAGAGAGGATGTGGAGAGATGTTTATGAACATGCCCTGGACCTCTTCTATCAGATCTTTACTTCATTGGAAGATCAGGAGACACTGAATCCAGACAATGAAGTCCATCTTTTCGCTCTGCACCGGATTTTCCTTCCACTGGTTCAGCAAAGCCTCGACTCTTTTCGAGATGCTTGGAACTTCCACGGTCTTAGAACTGAAAGGAATCAGTCACCACAGCAACTCTGGAGAAGTTACAGAGAGCAAGGCCCTGAGGAGGATCCTACTGAGGTTAACAATGAACTTTAAACACTTTCTTAAAATTGTTTCCCCAAAGGAATTACGGGAGAAAAAAATGGTGCCAAATGTGATACTTTAAATGAAACATTTACTATAGATTATTGTCTCTTTAAAATCTCCCGAGCTTTTAAAGATCAACCTGTGAGCTGTAGTCTACAGTGCATACTATGCAAAGCTGTATTATTTTTAAAAACTGAATAAGTAACATTTCATTTCTCACTGCCTTGGTGACCAAAAATAACAATCTTGTGTAAGGACATGTCAAACTAGTTTTAAGTACAAGACTGATTATGCTTGTCATCCATTCAGGTTCCTGAAGAATATGGGATCGATTGGAACGGACCTCACTGCCTTCATCGAGGCACTGTGTCAGTCCCCGAGGTTCAGCTGGCCCGTGAGCTCTCAGATGAAGAGGTTGCAATTTTGCCAGCTCCAGGAGTTTCTGTTACTGATGCACTTAGACTATATGTAGAGACTGTGGAAGTGTTATCAAGAATCTTAGACTGATGTCCAACCCATGTTTTTATTTGTTGTGTTAGAACAAGCAAGGAAAAACTGAAAGTTTACTTTCCTTTTAAAAGAAAGGAAAAAAAGCTGTTTCTTTGAAGCTTCCTGTCTCATTATGGTCCACAGAATGACTAACATGAATGCTGTACTGTTAGCACTGAAGGTGCAGAACAGTTTGATTTTAGTAAATGGAAGAAAAAAAAGTCAACTACTGCACAGTGTGTTAATGTTTTCAAAGACACTGAACTTGTGTCAATTCCGGAAGATCCCAAGACATGGAAAGATCTGAAACTGTGTCCTTCTGTTCCGGTGTAAGATCTTCATGTTCAAGTTAGAATTAAGACCATACAAGTTATTATATCTGCCCAAGCAATATTTTTTACATGGCAAAGTTTCTTTTAGGTTACATACCAGTTCTATGATGCTCCTGATGTGCAGATCAGGACAGTCTTCTGTAACAACAGTAGCCATTTCAGGGTCCCCATTGAACAGTACATGAATTACAGCAGGACTTAGTCCTGTGACATGGGGACCATCATGCAGAAAGGTGTGGCCCAACATCCTTCCTGCAACCCGGAAGAGGTTGCTTTCAATAAGTGCCTCTGATGCTGCTGGAACAAGATGGTCAGGTTCACCCTCAAATAGCAGTGTTCGGCCCATTCCTCCTGTAAAGTACCAAGAGAGCAGGGAATAAAGTCACAACAATTAACCTCTTAAATACATTAAATAAAAATGTATGATAGATAGATAGATAGATAGATAGATAGATAGATAGATAGATAGATATATTACATCATACTAGTGGCGATTACTTGGCCTGTGGTATTGCTGCTTGTAGAATTCACTTAAACCAAATTGTAGCCTACTCCAAAATGACTTACAGAAGGACCCCAAACCACTTCAAATTCAATTCCCCTGTATACCCTACTACAGACTTACCTGACACAAAACATTGCCCACCGGCCCTCCGCTAAACAGCACATATCCGCGTTCATCAACCACCAGAACGTACGTGTACGCGTGTGTGTGTGTGCGCGCGCATAGAGAGAGGCGGTGTAGAGTGAGTCACGACACAAACAGGTGCTCAGTCAGCGTTGCATGCAGTGTGAGAATGGCAAGCAGCAAGAGCGGCAAAAGCCAATGTGTGCTTCTTTTACCTATATATGTAACGCTATCTTTTGCGTTTATCCAAACGTCGTCAAACTTGGCACTGCACTTACTCGTGACCAGAGCAAGACACCTGTCAAGTTTGAAATCCATCGGACTAACTGAGAGACATGCGCTACAGACAGACATTTCTGCAATTTATAGATGGATTAACCTTCAAAAAATTAGTAAGATACTTACCAAGATCTAGACTGAATCCAAACTGGAGTTTGGATATGATTGTTGTCATAAAGTACCGCATCACTCCCTCTCCGATAGCAACATCACCTGAAATAAAATACTGATAATAACACTGGAAAAAAAGTGGCGGCCTAATACAGGTAACTGGATTTGGTAACATTTAACAAGAAAGGGAGAAAAACTTCTATTGGCTGTAATTCTAGAATAGCATCCTTAATATTGATTATTCCAGATAACAAGAGTATATTGTGCACAATATTCACATACATACATATAACATTTTTATCAATTATATAATTTTGTGCATTCCATTCTCCCATTTAACAATTCCATATAAGCTACTTGAGTGGTATAAACTGTACTGATGTATTTATATTATAAATGTTATATTACTTACCAACCAGAGTACAATGAAGTGGACATGCCCATTCTTGCTGCTGTTTATAGAATAAGAGAAGCTCCCGTTCCCTGTCCTCTTCAGAGTCCCTTACATCCATCTTCATTCTAAGTGGTTTCCCAGTTGCATGTTCCCTTAGCAGATTCTCTTTGAAAACTTTGGCAGCTTGAGTGGGTTCTTTAATAAGCTTCCATTCTAAACAAACAACAACAATAAAGTTATCTATTACAGAGAGACATATTGTGAGTTGGCATGTTACCTGCATATACAGATATCCTCTCACTCTACAGAACAGGAGGAAAATTCTGTTCATTTCACTGACAAAACGTGAGACCCAACATCTTCAGAACCTGTCACAACGCTGAGTTGACATAAAAACAGCACTACTAAACAACTACAACTAAATATTAGAAAAATAGAAAAACCCAGTTGCATGTTATTAATTGTCTGTAACTGTATTATCTTATCTAATTATATCCTACAGGTGTTATCTTTCTATTAACTTTTCAGTTACACACAATCTTATAGCAACACTATTGTGATGACACAAACCACTGTCTGTTTCTTTGCGATCCAACTCCTCGTTGACAATCACTGCCGGTACTACTGCACTCTCAGCTGATGTTTCAGGCCTCACTGGAACACTGTCACTGACTAGGGCTGTCTCACTATCATTTTCTTCACTTTGGCCTCCCTCTTGTTCTCTTTCTGATTCCTGCATGGGTGTCCTTGAAGTTAACACAATTGAAATGATGGTCATACTCGCTTATTTGTGTGCACAACAATAAGAGAGACATATTCCCAAAGAAAATAAATTATGCTACCCTTGCATTGCTTTAAGAAGTACATACCCATTGCAGCTCAATCTGTGCAGCTTCATCTCTGAAAAGGGAACTTCCTTCTGACAAGTGATGCAGGGGATGACTGGACCAGAGGCAGGACGTGAGCTCTCCTAACAACAACAACAAATGGCTTTTAATTAATGATTAAAAGTCACCAGTAATCTTTGTTTTGATTATGTATTAAACTAAGTCTCTGTAAATGTATGTACACAATCTAAGGGTAGATCCTGTTGAAGTGGACGTATGTAGATTGTAGCCTGTCCAATCATCATCGATGGATCTTTCAGATAGGCAAGGGTGTATCCAGTGCTGGGACACTGAAGCAACGCAAGATTTCGACTGCGAGTAGATCCTACAAGTTTTAGAAATTCAAAGCCTCCCCCTTGTTGGAGCTTCGGAAACACTTCCATCAGTTTATTTGTTATAACCATGGGATCGTGGTCATTCCCTGGAGAAAAAAACAAAACAAAATCATAACTCACCTCACCTTAAATTAAGCAAATAAGCCTGTGATAACTATTATTGACACTATGAACACCAATTAAGTTTGAGTCACTATAAAAAGAAATGCAAATAATTTCAACAAGCCACAGACAGTACAAACTTTTTTTACTTTTGGTAAATGCCTAGTTTCGCACTGACCTGAAAATGTTACTTTTTGCTCTCCAAGTCCTGAAGTAAGAAGTTCAGCTTTAAACAGTACGCTTGGAATTTTATCCGCATTGTGGTCAGCCAAACAACAGACAGTGTGTGTGTAGCTTCTTCGGCTAACTTGGACTTGTGCTGGTCGTCTCGTCATATTCCTTCTGGCTCCAATGTTATATGGCGCAAAGAGCCTTGCTACCTCCGCTGCAACACAGAAAAACGTAACAGCTCAATGGTCACCAGTCAGCTAAAACAGCCTCTACTTCTATCTTGGGATGCTCAAGCCAGCTAACACCATTTAGCCGATTAGCGAACTAGCTAGGTTTATGCTTCCCCCCCCATTAACAATAAACGTGTCACGCACGAAGCATCATAATACCGCATGCAAATACATGTTCGAGTCGATCTAATTTAACCTACACGTGTGTCCCGAATCATTAAATAGTAGCACACCTGGCTAACATGAAATTACTTAGCTTACCTTGGACAGGTGTACGTGATTGAGCGGCCGGTATCTGCTGTGACTGAGCTGCCGGAGTCACCGGTGCCGCGGGAGCCGTTGGACTTCTGCTCAGAGCTTCCTCAATCAAATTCGCTGCTTCTCTCAGCAGCTCCGGGCAACTTTTAGACATTTTGTCCTGCACCTCACACAGCGTCTCAACATTGGGGCTAGCAGGACCGAGTCTTCTCTTGATTTTTAGCCGTTGCAATGAAAGTTCTGTTTAACCGTGTAACTAAACCAACGTAGAGGTGAATAGCGCCACCCAGTGTATTGGAATGTGTTCAGTAGCTCTGCATCAATCCATTATCCGGAATTGATTTGTCTTGGCTTGATGCAGAGGGTAACCAATCAGGCGTTAGGTTCCGCCTACCAACTTTTGATGGGTCAGTTTGACAGTTTTAAGTAATTCAGGAAGCACTCCAACGCAGGACCATGAAATGTAAATGTAAATAGTGAAATTATTATATATGTATTTTACATAAAATGAATCGGTATTTGAATTAATTAATGACACATTTAATAACACATTTATGTATTTAATTCTAATTTTAATTAATTAATGACACATTTAAGTAATTATTTAATGGTGTATTTATTTATTTAATTGTGGCACTTTTAGTCCTCCATAAAAACGCAGTAACTACACTTTTGGTCAAAATTGAGTTAAGACTGAAATCAGGCTTTGTGCTATCGATTTTATCTTGTGACAAAGTGTCTTGGTTCAATTATCTTCAATTTCAGAGAAAATGGAGTGTAAGGTTTACAGTAACTACAAAATCCAAGTAAAAACCAAGGCAAACAGCAGTAATTGAAGGTACTTCACTTTGGCTTTGGCTTTGCTCCACCGTGTTTTGACTGCAGTTACCCGCTCTTTAATACAAAGGCAAAGAGCAGTAACTTTGCAAACAGTGAAACTGAGAAAAATGCCTTGAAAGTTTATTTGCTGTCCAGCCAAATACTGTATGATGTAGGTAGATAAGTGATAATGCACTGATGTACACTGAGAGTACAAAACCTTAAGATCACCTTCCTAATATTGAGTTGCGCACCAAATGACTCCAATGCTTCCCACAGTTGGCTGGATATCCTTTGGGTGGTGGACAATTCTTGATACACACGGAAACTGTTGAGCGTGAAAAACCCAGCACATTTAGATTGTAGATACTGCACAAAGTATAATCATTCTGTATGATGAAATAGTCCTGACCTTATGGCAAAAAAAAAATACATGAGGGTTTCTACAATACAACATTCAAAACATGAAAACATAACTACATAAAACCATTAAATATAGTTGGAATTTAGTTTGAACTCTCAAACTGTTTCCGTCAAACAGAAAAATCAACAAGAAAGTTGGA